TGCTTTTATTATTTGATATTTTTTACTGAAACGAATAATAAACTTTGAATTTTTGACTGTATCTTCGCAAATGAGAGGATACCTCGCCATATGATTGTTTAATATAATCATAAAATCGTTCGTTATTGTAATTGAAAATATCATCTGGTAAATCATTTTGATCTATATTTCTCGATAATGTTGATGAGGACATGAGCTAAAATAATTATCTTAAAGAAATAACTTTATCATAAAAAATATATCAAGAAACGAACAAGAGTACTGCTATATTACTGCCAACATGTCATCTTTAAACAATTTGAAAAAAAGCATTTCATCCAATGAAACAAATAAGAATTCTTAAAGTAACTGAAAGATATTTAGCGGAACTTCCTCTCTTTTCTATATCAGAAAAATAGCACAAAAATGAGTTTCTTCTGAGTAAGAAAATCGAATTAGAATTAGACAGTTTTGTAAAATGGGTACATTTCTGATTGAATACTTTTAAAGAGTTCGCTAGGATTGAAGTACAATAATGAATCTGATAGAGAACGCTCTTAATCAATCACAATGTAGTGGTTTAGTTTATGTAGTATCCTAAAAAAAATCAATTAGCATCTCAGCACTTCAGCACCCGCCCAGCACCTACTCAGCACCAGAGCACCTACTCAGCACCTACTCAACACCTGAGCACCTACTCAGCACTTTTCCAGCACCTGGGCACCTACTCAGTACATCAGCACCTGCTCAGCACCTCAGCACCTGTCCAGCACTTTTCGGTGCTGGGTGCCAGCACTTACCCCCCTGATTTTAGGCCCCTGGTTCAGAGAAAGAGCAAGAATTCATATGAAACGATGTACGAAGCGATTGAATAGATCGAGAGAAGTCGACTGGTGTGTGCTTTATAACTGGCACAGTTACACAGATGACCTGAACCTGGTAACATCATGAAAAAGGATTCTGAAAATCGAGTTTGAACACTTTCTTTCGTTGAAAGAGAGGTGAATTATATGAAGTCATATAGATATGGTTTCGATAAGTTTTGGTTGGCAGATTGGTATATGTTTAGCCATTGACAGAAACAAAAAATTAATCATAAAACTTAAAGTTTTGTAAAGTATTCTGGAAATCCGTCAAGGAGGCTTTGGTTCTCAGTAGATTGGAGATATTATATGAAACCTCACATATATCGATGCAGGAAAGTGAGATTAATCGATTGAGCTGCATTTTGTGTTTGGCACAGGTTGTGGTGCGAATCTGTCTATGAAAAACCTTCTAAAATCCTGTTTTTTTAGGGTTTTTAGAGTCTTATGGCTGACTGGTTGTGTTTTAAGCGCTGTTAAGGGTATCATTGGATAAAGCTAGTTGAGATGCATCGAATGATATAAATTTCAAAGTTGGCACGGTTTGTGGATCGAATATTTTCGTGTAAAATCAATTTTGTTTATTTTTACCTGTGGCGAGATGGGAAAGATTTCTCAATATTTTTTCATTGAATAACTTTTTTCAAGGTTAAAATATATGAGATGATAGAGTTTTTCGAGCTGATTCTGGCTCACAGTATTTCGTTCTTGGCACAGTGATCTGAACGAATCGTCCCGCGAAAAACTCGAATCCGGCGCTAACTTCTCTTACATATAGATTATCATTTTAAAGGATTCAATTTTTGCTTTCTCTTTCGATTCAAAAACTGTCATGTTCACCCACCCACTCTCACTCTCTAGGTATCTCACTATTATATGGTGACATCTTTTTTGTGATAATTTTTGTAAAATAAAGATAAGCACATTGACCATTTTTTTACGTCGTGTACAACAGTTAATAGATCGAGACGAATCATTTCTTTTATAGTTGTTCTTCACGCATGCGAATTGATATGACAGATATCAGTAAACGTGCGATGTGTTATTTCAATTTTCTTTTCCTTTTTTCTCTTTGTCTTTCGTTTTATTTTCTTCTCGTTTCTTTTTCTTATTCTCCTTGGGCTTTTTTCTTGATACACGCGCTACTCGTGTATTTTCGTTGTTGCTTATCAATACATCTCTCTTTTACTCTTTTCTTGATATTATGTTTTTTCTTTTAATTACTCTCTTAATATCTCGACAAGTGTGAATCAGTGTTCAGCATAATAATATCGATGATATAGAGTGTAACGCTTTGCTTGAATGTAGTTTTACACTAGCAAAATTTTGAAAAAGTCTAAACGTGATACAATTACTTCGTGATATTTACATAATAATGTAGACCAACGATTTAAAGGTGAGCAAACAGACTGCATATAAAACATTTTTTTTGGGCATTCTCGATCATATTATAGGGAAAAAAAAGGACGAAAAATCGATAATTTCAAATATCATCATAATTTATGTTTGTTATGGAGCAGTGAAGTGAGTATGACGAGCTAGCACGATCCCAATAAATATGCATTGCTGAGAATGTGGATGTTCTGACATAAATTTTTGCTTAACAATCAAATCAAAATTACAAGACTGTCTAAAAAAATAGAGTCTAAGTTATATATGCTATGAAACATCAGCAAACACACAATTAATGATGCCCATATCAATGCAAAAAAGTATCAAGACTAAATACTACATCACTGAATTTTCTGTAAAAGTCGCAAAATGGTCGTAAATTACTCATTGTTTATAAATCAGAACGTATGTCATCTTTGCTTGATCATATTTCTGAACATTTTTCAAAAAAGACATCATCTCTCAGAGACATTCCAACAAAATATTGAACAATACGAAAATAGGATAGCTTTTAGGTTTAGTTATCGTGCATGGGTATAGTAAGTGAAGAATGTCTTTATCTGTTATGAAAAATACAATTTATTGCCACTCTGTTAACTCTAAAATCTGAGAAATGCATACTACATACGAGAAAATATACGAATGAATTAGTATCTCATACGCTAGGAAACTCCCGTTTAATTATAATACTCAACATTTAGAATGATAAGCTACTATCGTTTATTCTTACTAGATTTCAATTCCAACTGGTGTGAAACATTGAATACCCGTGTATCTTGATAGAGCTTGCGTTTTAACAAAAATATCTTGATTGAAAACGTAGTGTTAGGTAGAAAAAACAAAAGAATTAATCTAAAAGGCGAACAGTAAGTTTCGAATGTAGCAACTATTTGACCTTATTTGTAAACATCTATACATTTAAGCTTACATGCAAGAAATCACATGTATATTTCAGATACCTTTATTCTATCATTTACGCCACAAAAAACAAATATAATATCACAATTGAGCAGTCAAAAGGCATTTATTAAATATTATTGCTTAATATAAATACATATACTTTCTTTAATCATCTATTAGTTAAAATATTGCGAAATGTTATATCTTGTTATATCCATCATTCTTGGCATTATTTCGTTTATAATCTACAAGAAGCACAGTAAATCATCGAGGTTTTCTTCCACTGTTTCTCAGTACGATCATGCCATAGTTCTTGGAGGGAGCATTGGAGGAATGGCTACTGCAGCTTATTTATCTAAATATTTTAAACGAATAACAATTATTGAATCAGATGACGTATTAAATGATGTATTCATGAAGTCTACACCTAGTGAAATATTAGATTATCGTTGTCGTCTTGAAAGTCCAACATCATTAGGACGTTCAGGTGTAGGCAAATATATCAATTACATGGACTTCAAGGTGAAGGTTATAAAATATTACTAGAATTATTTCCTCAATTAAAGGATAAGTTATTCAATGAATATGGTGTTCGGACATATTCATTGAAAACCGATTTAAGACTCGCGGCTAGTGGTATAATCTTAAATCAAGATTTAACTGAAGATTTTGATTGGTTAGGTATTGATCGTTTTACATTAGAAATAGTTTTGAGAAGAGAATTTTGTTTGAAATTCAGTAATCAAGTTGAATGGAAATGTAATAGCAGAGTAACAGAATTAATTGTTGATCGATCATTAAATATTGTTAAAGGTGTGAAATATCGATCGAAGAAAAATACTGGTTCATCGTCATTGGAGATATATGGTGATTTTATTATTGATTGTACTGGTCACAATACATCATCACCTAAATGGTTAAAAGAGAAATTCAATTTAATTGTACCGACTATACAAATACATTATGGTTGTGGCTATGTTACATGTATTGGTGAAAGATTTCGAACTGGTGATCCATCGCTCGATTCAGTAGCTGTGATTGGTAGCTCAGTTAACTCTCCTGAGAACAACTTTGGTTTTATTATAACACCAATGCGTACAATAGATACAACTGATCATGATTCATTAGGAATACTAGCAACACTTGCTATAAACTGTGTTAATTCAGAATATCCGCCAAATGATTCATATGAAAATTTATTAGAATGGGCAAAAGAAAATCTAGATCAAGAATATTATGCGGTTTTAAAATCCATAAAAGTATGTAGTCCATTACTTTCATATCGTCGTGCAGTCGATGCTAGAAAGTATGTCGAAACATTAGGTAAAAAATGGCCTCAAAATTATATATTATTAGGTGATGCCATATGTGCATTGAATCCTCAATATGCACAAGGTATGACACATGCATTGAGACATGCACGAGAATTGGAAAAAATATTTGATGAAAGTTGTCATATGTTAAAAGATATTTCTCATATTTTTAATCGTCGTGCTACAGTAATTACTGAAGAATGTTGGTTTGCTTCGACTGCAAATGATTGGAAAACACCAACATTAAAAGTGATCGAAACACATAAAAATGGTGAAGTTAAAACTTATCAACGAGGCAATAATTCGATTACGACTAATAACTCGCAACTACGCGTACCTTTAAAGATACGGTTCATGCAATGGTATAGTCATTGGTTTCTTCAATGTGCAGCGAAATCCGGACAATTATCTACAGACTTTATGCGTGTTGTTCAACAACAGGGCAATTCATCAATATTAATGAAACCTACAACATTCTTTACAGTCATGCGTATGGCATTAATGAGTTATGTTAAGAACTGGAGTTTATTTGGCGGAAGATTGGCCCATTGAATTTTCTGAGACAAACTTCTTGAAAGTGTGAATGAGAATATGTATCTTACTTTCGCATACATGCATACCCTCAATCTATAAACTGTTCTTTTTTCTGCATCACTTTTGGCAAATACCGGTATATTTTTTTTGTTCTACCAAAAATGATATTGTTCCACATATGAAGGAAAGGAAAACGACAAAGCACATTTATTTGTTACTGTATTGAGATCATGTACTGTTAACCTATGCAAGAAACAATACATATAGCTAAAATGAATTGGGAAGCTCATTTGAATGCCTTGTTTTACGCATATTATTAGTTCATGCCTCTATTTGTTGGGTTCAATCTTTCTTCATCCTTATTTTTCGAACAACGAGTCACTTTTGAAAGCTGTGGCATTGACCTATTTCTTTGGTTCATTTCTAATTTGTTTTGCTTCACTGCAACAACTAACAGGAGATTTTCAAAGTATACTTCTTACAATAACTGCTCAGTTGATATGGATTTGACAATATCTTATTAGCGATTGCTTCGATGGCATTTTGGTCAGCATTTAGTGTTTATGGAGAACTTCTAGGGGATTGGATATGGGTGTGGGTTTGAGCGTAGGGTGCCGATACACCGAATAACAACACTCACAGGTCACACTCCACGCTGTTTCTGATCTAGGAGGTCATACAGGTTAAAACCTTTTGAAAGGGTACGAGACAGTGACAGGGGCATACAGTATTGAACAAAAAGTCGTTCGACTTTTTACGGACAACGCGAGCAACAACATCAAAGCTTTCAGTTCACTCATTATACCTGGTTTTGAATCATACTTGGAAAAATCTACAGACGAATCCTCCGACGATCAAGATGACGACAATGAAGAAGTTACAGAAGATAATGAGGTGAAGTCGAATGATATTGGAGATTTTTGCACGATAGTGATCGTAAATGACGAACTCCTTCGCATACCATGTTATATTCACAATCTGCAATCGGTTGTGGCGGACGGTCTACGAGAATGTAGTTGTGTGAAGATGTCAATAACCAAAGTATCAATGACTGCAAACCTCAGGTGAGACACCTACATTGTATCATGTTGTAACAATAGTCCCTAGTCGAAATACTGAGTTCAGGGTACCGAGTTACTGAAGCAATTCTAGTAAAGTATCCGAAAGAATATACGGCTACCAGTATGTCACAGGTACTTGGTCAGTACCTGACGCCCTACATTGAAATTTTTTTCCACATTTTAACTTATTCAGAGCACTCAGAAGCATCTTATTTTCAACTTTTCGGGTGACCATCAAGTAGCCGAAAGTACCCAAGCACTAAACAGTAACGTGACATACTGGTAACAGGGTACCCGTTCGAGTACCTTGAACTCAGTACTTTCTCTAGGGGTATCGTATTCTGACAAAAGCAAGAGAAATAAATATGATTGGACTCTTGAAGTTCCCGATTAAAAATAATCTTGTGTGTAATTTTAGCCACAAGAGTACTGTTATGACCGAGAAGTTAAAACTGGATGGCTTCAACACTCCGACAGCTGTGGTCACTAGATAGAATAGACAATCTGATACGGTCTCAAAAGCACTCGAAATTTCATCGGATAAACTCAACAGCTATTTGTGAAAGTTAAAGAAATATTCATTGATCTTATCTCAGCGCTACATTATGATTCTCAATGAATTTATTTCAATCTTCGCTCTATTCGCTGAAATGACTCCTCGATCACAAGCTGACTAGACGACTTCAATCTCATTAGTAGCACCACCCTTGATCGAGATTTATCTTGATTTTGAGTCCAAGCAAGCTTCATTGAAGCACACAGACGGTCTCTGCTAAGTATTACTTAATTTCTTAAGAGAACGTTTTTGAGGATTACTTTAGCAATTCGAGATGCCGATTGTCACAACGGGCCAGTGCCGATCAGCTCACAATTTGTATTCGGACTCACTCTTTCTCATGATCCCATTCTTGGATGCTCGTTTTGGCTTACGATGGATATACCATTCAAAATGGAAATCTGACGTAAAAGAACGCGTATGTAACAAGATCAAGTTACTAGTTACAGAAGCTACACTTCAACTGCAACACACAGGTTATTCTGACAATAGTATCACCATGATCAAAGCGCCGGTGGCTAGCTCGAACAATATTACGACTACGTATCTCAGACATAAGTCTTTCTTTGAGTTTACAATGGATAAAGAACCGCTGGTCAAGGAAATGCGTTCGAATATACGGGAACTCATCGAAGAAGAAGTGCTTTTATTCTCAAGAGAAATATCCACCGACAGTGCTCTCATTTTCAAAAAAGCGAAAAACGATTCATACTTGAGCGCCTTGGCTACTTATCTTTTGTGCGTGCCTTCAACACCAGCACCGTTAAAATGCTTCTTTTCTAACATCGGCTTCACAATTCAACCACAGAGAAGTCAGCTTACGAAGGAAATACTGGTTAAATTAACAATGCTCAAGTGTAATTTTGATCTTTTTCAGTAGTTATCTTCATGTTTAACATTTATTGAATTTCAACTTCTAGCATTACATTTCGTTTTGTTATGGTTCGAAAAAAAGAAAATATTGTAAAATAAAGCCAGAAAAGAACAAGTTACTTTGGAGCCGGAGATCAAAACCTCAGGGGAGGAGCCTGGAGACGACTGCATAAAACTGGAGCCGAAGCCTTGTCGGAGCTAGAGCTGGAAGATGGTGGAACTGCCCATCCCTGATATAGAGCGTTCCATTCAGCTTAATGTTTTACTGTTTTGTAATTAACGAAAATGCACGAACATATTGATCATATAATATCACTTTCGACCTATCTGTCAACTGTTCAGGCTGTGTTAGTATGATTGTCTTCTTACTCTTTTCAATGAGTTGAATCACCAAGTTCAGCTTATAAAAATGAATTCATTAATCGTTTTTTTTATCAAGATATCAATGAATACAGTAATCATTCTCAGTTATTCTTTTAAACAAAGAGTACATCAATAGAAAGATTTTTGTTAGAATATATCGAATGATTTATCATAAACAGTATATGAGTCATTGATAAACTTAGTATTCAAGTAATCTGTTGTGAATTATCTGCGTCAAAAGATCGTATGATAAACAACGATAAGGAATATAATAAAGCAAATGAGAAAACAAGGTCAAAACATTGAAATAAATATTATTCACAAAAAATCGCCGGCAACTAGATCAATCTTTTCATGACCTACAGTCATCATCTGAATCATACGTGTGATCACTAATAATACTTTCAAATTTATCTTTCTTATGAGCTGATTTATTAATGTCAAGAAAAAGTAATTAAAGTATTTTGTTCATAGTTAAGCACAGGTATATTCTATTTTGCTAACACCATCTGAACATGAACTTGCGTCCCATGAATATTTCACCTTGCTACCTTTGATAACTTTTCCACAACCAGTTAGTGCATAAGATTGTACCATAGCTTTACATGCTTCTTCACATTTGACCATAGCTGCATCTTTACATGAACAAAGTTTACATGATGATATGTCCCATGAATGAAATGGAAAATGGACTGTATTTGAAACAGCTTTGCATGTGCATCTATGTCAAGCATTTCATTTTAAATTTCGTCTATGGTCAAAAATAAATATTCACTTACTTGCGATTCAATGGATTACCATGGACAGTAATGATAAAAACAAGTACAACAAGTAGAAAGAGCTTCATCGTAGATTTTGATGATAAAAATACATCAAATCGATTTTTCATGTCGTATTTATATACTTCTAAGTATATTTGATTCATAATGATTCGTTCTTTTTTTCTTTCTCTATCCATATCACAAATCCTTCATATACTAATCCGTAGATATGAATTCAATGATACTTCAACACTAAAAATATGACTGTTGACGATTGAGATTAAATGAGTAAAAAAAGAGAAACTTCAAGAAAAATTGCGTCAATATGAATCACATACGCAATAGACACAAGCACAAAGTCAATGTTAATAAATGAAAGCAAAGTGTAGGTCCAATACGAAAGTATTTCTTTTAATTTTGCATATGAATCGTATCACAATGTAGTCTCCATCAACACGAATAAAATAAGCAATGAAAATCAACATTTTTCACAAGCAGCAAATCAAATAATTTGACTGAAGCTTTTCAACGAATATTTTCCTTTGAAAAACATATCTTTAAGCATAGAAGAAATATGGGTGTGGATGTGGGTGTCAGTTTTCTGTTCACCTCCACCCACAGCCCTACCCACACCCACACCCTCACACCGACACGCACATCCACAACCACACTCTGAACTGCAAATCCGAATTTAAAATACTGCAATATTTCTGACCATCAATTTTTTCTTTATTCCTTGTCTAATTTTTCTTTTTACTTACGTTACTATGCTTATAATATAGAATGAGCATCTCTAGAGACACAAAAATTGGTAGAATCATAAAATATTTTTGAATACGATCAAAATCAAGTTAATTCGTATAAATTTATCTTGTTTATAGGTTATAAATAAAGGTGAATCCAATAAAAAAAGAAATCAAAACTGAAAATATGTATGCCCGATAAATGTGAAAACAAGATGAGTACGATTAAATCATAATTCATTATTATTTTACAGCAATTGTCTATGCCACTGTTACTTGGAATGTTCGAATTTGCATTGGAGTAAGTCTAATATTTGTATCTGATAATGATTTCTTTTCTAAAGATAAATCCTTAATGAAAAATCAGTTTTTTATCGAGAAAACATACCTGAAACAGTTATATTAGATGATTTCTTATCGCCGGTTAACCAATCAAGTCGTTTCATATCAGCTAATGGTAAGTTAGCAGCAAGTGTTAATTCAACTTTATTACTAATTGTTCCTATTGATTTAAATAATGATTGTAAATCAAATGTAGCTCTTTGTGAATATGTATCATCTTCAAATGATTCAAAATAATGTTCAATACGAACAAGATAATCTTATGGTCCCAACTGATCTAGTGTTAATAAATGAACATTTAATGGTAATGTATCGATTAGTGCTGACCATGTTTGACGATAAGCAGCTGAATAAATGTCATAATCTTGTTGAATTAGTGCAAAAGTAGTAATTGGATGCATGTATAAACGTTGAGAGCCCACACGATGATATCGTGCACTTGAAGCATGTGGTTCAACAATAAGAAAATGTCGACCACGAACAACAAGACCTTCATCATATGCAGTTTCATTCAAAGGTTCGCCTACAACAAATCGATCATCGTAGAGAAGACGTCGATGCACCATGATCTCAATAGAGCCATCTTTGATACTGCCACCACCTTCTGATCGATCTGTACGAATAAACGAACCATAGATAGAGTTATATTTTTATTTTAAGATTTTTGTAATTTTTTTCATAGAAAACAAAACAATTTCATTTTCACTTTGGAATAAATAGTAAATCACTCGAGTCTTCAGAAGAATTCCTTTCAAAAGCTTTAATTGCATAGTGCTCGGGTGTAAGTAGATAGTGTTCGGTTGGTTACATTTGATAGAGAGAAATTCACATTTTGAACACAATCTTATCCTGTTCAGCAATGTCGAATGTAACAGCTAATCAAAGAAATAAGACTGTTCATTGGAGTTAATGAGGTCAATTTAAGCGGAGACCGAAAAGTCACTGGAACTGTGGACGGAGGCCAGTATTTTCTCCTGTCAAAATTCTTATAATCTGAAAAACTTGTTTTTTGGTCTTTTTTCATTCTTACCCGTTAGAACAGTGAATTGTCTATCTTCTTCTTTAATCCATATTCGACTATTTATTGGATAATAATTTCCACTCACTGTTTCAGCAACTGTATAATTCTATGTTGGCCGATAATCTCGTTTTCTTTCAAGAACTTCATGTCCATTTGCATCCGTATAATATGTTGATTCACTTGCAATATCAGTATCATAACGAATGATAATTTCTTTACCAATATCATCATCTATTGGTATGGGTCCAACTGTCCATTCAACTTCAACAGATTCTTCTTCATCATATAAACTGATTTCTTGACTTGTCCAATTATTAAATTCAATAATTGCTGTTTGAACATTTTCTGCTTTTATACACGTGGTAAAGTAACATGAACGATGAAAAGGAAAAATATCTACAGAATAGAAAATACCGTTACATTGAACGTGTTTGACTAACTGGTAATGCATTTGCCATTAATGGTCTGAAAATATAAGCACCTGATGCTTGAGATTGTGATAGTGAATTAGTACCAGGAAAACCTGAATCATAACAAAACTTAATAAAAATAGACTCATCGATCTATTTTGTCGACATACCTTGATACCAATAGAAACCTTGATTTATAAATGATACACTCATGTTTTGGTTTAAATTAAAGATTTGATGTAGGTTGCCTCGATTATCGAATTTTACTTGAAGATTCTAAGAGCATTTCAATGAATAATTGAAAAGGAGAAGGTGACGCAAAAGTCCCTTTGCCGAAAAAAAAATTGAATACCTTCATTACGATTCGAGCAAACGGGCTGATTCTTTTTTATCAATGATAGAGATGTATTCAAGCTTTACATCTATAAAGACATGCATAGAGAGATTCTTTGCTAAGTATCACTATTGATCTCAACAAAAACAAATTTACTTCGTCACAGATAGGGAAACAAACAATCTACTCTGAACAATCAGTTTATCAAAAGATGAAATATAAATAATCAAATGAACACTTGACTATTGTGTATCCTTCATTTATACATTTTTTTCTCATTTTCCTCTACGATAGTTCATATGGGTAGTCTGAGCGATGCTTCTGGTCATATTTATGTGACATAAGTTCAACTCTGTTTTGTGCTTTCTCGATTACGCATGTTCACATCTGTTCTTCATTTTCTATCCTATCTCTGCATCTGCAAACACATGAGCCCTCAGCGAGAGTTACACACTGAATATATGATAAAAAATGACGAACATATGTGGACAAGGATGATCGAGAAAGTACAAAACAGAATTGAACTTATGCTACACAAATATGATCAGAAACTTCGCTCAGACTTAAATTTGTTTTTGTTGAGATCAATAGTAATTCTTAGCAAAGGATCTCTTTAGGCATGTCATTGTGAATATAAAGCTTGAATATGCCTCTATCATTGATAAAAAATCAGCTTGTTTGCTCGAGTTGTAATGGAGATATTCAATTTTTTTTCGTTAAAGTGACTTTTGCGCCATCCTGTATTTGATTTTGTAAAACACATGCTTCGTTATATGTAATGTTTATTTTAGACTGTTTTTGTTTCTTTTCATCAACTACAAAAACAAAATTTTCTTTCTAAGGAAGTTGAAAGAATATTGAAAATAAAATGTCTCACGCTTCTTTTCGAAATAGTACGTGCTAAAACCAAGAGCTGGCAAACTAGCTTTGAAAATAATTTGCTTTTTTTTGTANTTTTAGTAAACCAATGCAATTCAAAATATTTACATATAGAGTTGTAGAGAATTCTTCGGACTATTCGAACATATATTTATTTTTTCCAAAATGTTACTTTATAGTAATGATTTGTTAAAAGTACTGTGTCCGACTATTTTTTGCCAGGCGAATATATATTATCAAAATCCGATGCGTATCAGTGAGACGTCCATAGATGGCGCCACCTTCGTTGCATGTTACCATGGTCGCGGCGAAGGTAGCGTCACCTATGGACGTCCCACTGGTACGCACCAGATTTTGATAATATATATATACCGTTGGATATAGGAAGTCTTTCTCTACAAACCTACATATATCTCGTTTTTTAGTCAAAACATTATAGTCGCCTTTTGATACGAACAAGATTAAGAGTTGAGGTTTTCACCATTACAAAATGAAGATCTAGGCGTATGAATATGCTCTGAAATTTGATTGATTAACATCGAACTAATCAGATTGATTGTTAGTAGATATTTTATAAACGACATTGCCAGCTTGTCTCGCTGCATATTTATCAAGGTTTTCTCGAGACCTTCGATTTCAATCAATAGACCTAGAGCCATTCCGAAAATACCGCCCTAGGCAAGGATAATTCTCGATGTCGAATCGAATGGTGATATTTTTTTCGAATTTGAAATGATCTGACATTCTTATTTTAGTACTTCCAAAATTTTACAAGTCATTATAAATAACTGAATGTACATAATATAAACTAATTTTTATGAATAAAACTTACTTTAAAGTGTTCAATTTTGCTTTGTAAATCTCCAAGATCATCTCGATCAACATCTTTCATCCATGATTCTGTCGTACGATCGAATTCACTATTACCATGTTCATCAACAAGTCTTAAACTAAAATAAACTTGTTTTTGACTAAAACGTGAAATTACATTATCAAAACAAAAACGATATTCTCCTGTTTCTTCTAATTTTAATGTTTGATGACCATCACGTTTTTTAAAATCCGATTGTAAAACACGATCTGATGGTGAATAAAACCAATAATTAATATCAATATCTCCACCAGCTAATACTTCATATTCAATTTCAACAGTTTTATCTATTGGTAATACTTGATGAAAACATTCACGTTGATTAGGTGGAATAAGTACAGTTAATTCAATATCAATTGTATATATTGGAATAATTAAAATAGTTAAAATAAAAAGAATAATATGGAAATTTAATTTATAAAACATCTAGAAACAAGAAAAACAAAAACAACAAAAAAAAAAAAACAAAATTAATTATTTATGATTTTTTTTTCTTTTTCTTCTTCTTCTTATTATTATCATCATCATCTAAATCATCAAGTAAAGCATGTTTTTTAATAATTATTTCAATACTTCGTTTCCATTGTTCTGGTCTTGTACAATATGCTGTTAAATTCATTTCATATGTTATAAATCTTGCATATGTATGTGAACGAAGTAATTGTAAATCATTTGACATACTTTTAGCCATTTGAAGTTTTTGTTCGATTGTTATTGCATTTTTCCATAATTGTGTTACAAACCAACAAGCAGCTTTATCACAAGCCATTTTTGTATAGAATTTATCAAGTTTATTATAGAAATTTTTTTCTCGAAGACTACACCATAAAGATGATTTAAGAATTAATTGACAAAGTAAATGAGAACCACTTGGATGACAAGCTATAGATGATATTTGTTCACCAGTTAATGAAATAAATGATCGTTGTGTTAATGAATCAACTTTTTTAGCTCGAAGAAGTGCTTGTACAACAAGTGAACCTTCTTTTGTTATTATTTGACTTTCAGAATTTTCTAAAATAATTATATTTAAACAAAATTTTTAAATATAAATACATAGAAATTTCGAATATTAAAAAAAAAAAAAAGATTTTCATAAGATAAACTACATGTATCTTTTTCTAAATTTCATATAGTATCGTAAGCGAGAATTGCTTAGACCCGCCCTTCATTCTCAGAATCCGATTAGTCTTCGGAAGCTCTTTGATAGAAATGTCTGATGAAAAAAAGTAATTGGTTTTAAGTTGGAAGGACATGCATCATGAAGACCTTGAAAAGAGTTCAAGTTTATTGCTGCATTTATAAGGAAACTAATTTTTTTATTTCTAACTTGAAACAAACCTTGACGAGGATAGTTAATCGTAAAAGTATCAGATAAGTGATATAAAAGGCGCACTTTTACCATTGCTATATCTTAGAATAGGAACAGTGACAAGATCATCAACATTCAAAGGCTTATTTCAAGTCGAAATTCAATTTTCCTGAGGAAACTAAGGCATTCAATTACCTTAAAAGTTTATTATCTTCACATAAATAACCTAACGGCAAAAATTCTTTTTCAGGATATTCATACGTCGTTTCGGTCGCCTAATGTAAATAGTCTCGAGTCAAACAGCGATTTATTATTTGAAAGATTTTTCTCCTTAACACTTCATAGATGCAAACTTTTTTTGAATAATACATTATTTTGATTATAAGATTTTAATTGAAATTACCTGCTCTTAATTTTAATAAACAAGGAATAAAATTATTAATATTATCATTAATAAATTTATTTAATCGATTAATAAGTTCTTCATAATGACAATGAAATCTTTCACATATACGAATAAATGTAATTAATAAATGTATATGAGTTTGTTGAATAAATTTTTCAAATCTATCTTTATTAATTAATAATTGATAAATTTTTTCAATTAATTCTTTATTATTTAATGTTAATAATAAATGTTTAAAAAAAAAATTTCCAATTGAATGTAAATAAAATTGATCAATATTATTTAAAAACATTGGATAAATAATATCATCACGTTGTTTAGATGAAAATTCTAAAATAACTTCAAATATAAATGATGAATGTTTATCTAATAAATGTTCAATATTTAAATTTTTATAATATTTTTCATATATTCTATTTATTAATTTTTCATAATATTCTTTTGAAAGATAACCACATGTACGAAGTAATATTGCATATACAAATTCATTATAATTTTCAATTTTTTTCATTAATTTTATTATTTTTTTTAATTTTTTCATTACATTCCATTCTGTAGATAATTGAAAAAATTTTTTTTCTCTTTCACCACCATCAATTAATTCTTCATATTCATTATTATCATCATTTGATCGAATTAATGGATGAAGAAATGATATTGTTGATGCTATTATATGACTTGTACCAGTTTCTTGTATATAATCATGAAAATTTTCACATATACATTCAAATAATTGATCATATCCTATACGTATACGTTCATTGTCTAGAGATAAAACATTTGGTAAATAAACAAACAGTTTTTCTAATACAAAACATGCTGAACGATCACGAATAAGATCATCTAAATTATTTGATGTTAAACGTTCAAAAAATAATGATAGAATTGAATAAGATGTAACATATGGTAATAAATTTTCTAATTCACGTGAACATCCTTTTATTATTTTAATTGTATCAGTTGTTTTTGATGATGCTTCTTCAAAAACTTTATTTGCTAAATCATGACGATCATCATTTGATGAACATTGTTCAAAGAGATTATAAGCTTCTTTATAATATTTTGTATTCGATGATAATGATGACATTCTAAAATAGATAACTACATTTATTATAAATCGATAAATATCAATTAATAAAGTCAATGTTAAAAAGAAACATGATATATGCAATACTTCCATATTTAACCGATTTATCAATATACGGATATAGCAATTCTTTTGTTTCGAAAGATAACGCTAGTTGATCAAATAGTTTCTGATTATATATTTTATATATGAATGAGTCATTCAATCAATGTCGAACTATAGAGAAAAATTCATTAATTAATGTAATTAGAATGAAACTTATTTTTAAAAATTGTTATTAAGAAAATATTAAAATACATCCATTGATTTAGATTATTTAGGATATTAAATTCTTCTGATCAAATTAAATTTGGACAATAGATATTAGCGACATCTCGTATTTGCATACTTCTCGAACAAAAATCTGTTCTACTCTTGGTAGTAATTTAATGCATATCTAGAGAAATTTCCTTTTCTGGCGGCAGTGGCGGATCTACCGTACGGTGATTCGGCGACCGTCACCCCCTCGCGAATTTTTTTTCCATTTTTCGTCAGCAGAAATAAAAACAAAAGCACTGGTGTTGCCTTGAATAGGCTTCAAAAACTGGTTTTTGATCATGATCGCCACCCCCTTCAGTAAACCGCCATCCCCGCATTGATTTTTTGGATCCGCCACGGTCTGACGGTTCTATTAAATTCAGATGTCACCTTAATGGATACATTCGAGATTACTTAGCATTTTTCGTTACGCTTAAAATCCCTCGATCACGTACTATTACAAAGTAGAAATGGAGTCGATACGAGTCATAAAAATTCAGATCAATTTATTCGAAATATAGGCACAATCCCCAATAGAGACTCTATCTTTTATGGTCGTGTAAAACTTGTATAGAATGTCATATAGAACTGATCTGAACCGACCGGTCAGATAGATAAATGCTGATCTACTGGCACTGACTGGTTAATTTAGTGAAACTTTATTTTATAGCGGACTAGTATATCCTATGAATCTGGGGAATTTAGACGGCTTTTTGAAAATGTTTAATATGTGACTTTTCATTAAAGAACAACAGAATATTGAATCAGATGTCGTCATTCTATTTATATTTTAATCCCGAAAAAGTTATACGATTTTGTCATTGATAGAAGTGATTTAATTGTGAGAGTTGGTTGAATACACATATTGTTCTAAGAATATCATTTTTTTTGCTAGTTCAATGATTAATGTATGAACTTTATTCGTAAACACAACCTGCAGCAATAGACAAACATAAACGTGCCTTTTTCATGAGAGTTGAACAATAAAACGATTGTCGACGCCAAAATATGATCCCTTCGACACTTGTTTTTGAACATACCGAAAGTGAAAGCAGTTAGAAACCAAAGTTTTTCACTACTGCTCAATTCAAACTGTATTGAATTTCGAGTGTTCGACTCTACTGAAGTTAGTCGAATATTTTATCCATATTACAGTTTAGATTAACTCATCATCAGTTGATCGATTTCAAGGCTTTCAATAATAAGACGATAACTCCTTGAATGCAATAATCTAAGAGGATCATTCTTGTATACGTCCATCAGCAGAGAAAATTCTTCACCATGACTTAATTACATTGAAATTTATAATTGATTAAGAATTTATTTTCGAAAACTTCTAATCAAAATCTGCAGCAAAAACATACCAGCTTAATCAATTCATCGTCGAAATAATTTAGCAGAAATTTACTTTTCTTTTCAAATAGTGAAAACTGCAGGTTTTAAACTCTTTTCGTTTTTCGAGATATTCAAAAAGACAAACAAAAAAAAAATCTATCAAAATCCATTATATATCAGCATTACGAATAATTACATTCTTTCATCTTTTTTTTTTGTCTATTTATATTCCTTGGATAAGAAGAAAAAAAAATGGAAATATTTGTCATATATAATCAAAAGAAAAAACATATAGCATATCGACGGAAGAACTGAATCCATCATTTAATGTCTTGACGAACCATCCGCATCCACATGCATATCATAAACATTTCTATTTATAATAGCAGAACTAGAAAAACAAATAAAATTTGAGAAGAAAACGACAAAAAAAAAGAAAAAAAGAAATCGAATGTATGATCATCGTATGTATATATATATATCTATTTGCGATGAAAGCAATAGTTTTTTTTTGAAGCACAGCAAAGAGAAGATGATTACGGATTATAGCTTTGTGCTGGTCGATTGATCAATCGTAAGGCAAAATCGACTGCAATAGCAATCATAGACACAAATAAAAAGAACTAAATAATACAAAATTGAATAAAATAAACAAAACTTAATTAAAAAACAAATAAACAAAATACTTACTGCAGCAGATCCAGCAGCACCTTTATGATGTATGAAACCTGGTGGGTCTGATGCATCTCGTACTTTTTGTTCCCATGCTGCCGAACAACATCTATTCAATGAAAATAAAAGCATATCATATAATTCAATTCGATTTAAAAAAAAAATTATACCCAAGAATGAGATATATAACAGCAAATACAAGCATAATAATAATAAACTATTTTAGAATAAGAAAAAAATAAAATTATACTTTAAATATTTATTTTATACTTACCATCAAATCAAATACAGTTGGAAAACGATATATAAGACGAGATGCATGAAGAACAGTATCAAGAATCATAAGGAAAATACCCATTACCGCAAAAACAAGAACTGCATTACGTGTATGAAAAGCACTAACTTTTGCTTTCGAGTCACCAGCTAATGCATCAACTGTTCTTCCATCATCAGCTGCAGCAGCACTTATAATTACACAGATGAGTGCAATCTAGATTATTCAATTTTTGGATTATTTATCGCATCAAAAAAATAAAAAACAAACAAAGTAAAATAAACCTACCAATATTATTATATTTAATATTCCATGAATTGTTGTAAAGAAACGCATACCAGTAGCACATCGTGTAGGTCGTGAACTTGCTGGATCATTAGGTGGATTTGGTAGAGTAGAATTATAATGTGGTGTAACAACAGGTGGTGATGAAGTATTAACATTACTGTCAATTGGATATCGAACATCCGAAGTACTCATTTTTTTTTATAAAATTTATTTAATAAATCTTAAAAAATATAATATATTTATTTATTAATAAACATAATATTAGTTTTAACTTAAAAATTATATTCAACATGTTAGAAATATCATATCAGGAGAATTTTTTCTAATCTACCTAGGAATAATCTTTTCGATCAATACATTCGTATTGTGTATGAATAATGATTTACTAATGTGAGGAGACAATGATGTGATGAACATGTTGTCGTAAATTAAAAAGGGCTATATGGTACATCAAGTCGATGTGCACTGAAGGATGTATAATCAATTACTGAATATTGTAGCCTTTGGTAACAGTCGAAAATATTTATAAAAATTTTTTTTCTTTTATAGATTTTTGTAGAACTTTTCATGAAATACAAAGCCATACACTCAATATCCCTGATCATTTTATATTTAGTAAGAAAAAAAATATAACTTTTCAATGACTCACTATCGTCTTTCACTAATGGTGAATCTTCAATAGTATCGACAATAGAAAATGTGTCTAGATATCGAACTTTTTCAAATTTTGTGCGTGACACATTAAACATATTCAGAATCACCGTAACAAAACTACATGGAATAGCTTATATTCTAACTAAATATTTTTTTCCGTTATAATTCGATCAGTACCCTCTCAACCATTTTTTTCGTTAATTTGGCCCTGTGATATTCTACGAATCAAACTTTAGTAGAAAAAAAAAACATATTCACTTAATATATAAACTATTCAATGTCGTTTATTATGTTGATTCTGTACATGTTTAGTGTGTCATGTACAAATTTTGAAGTGTCACATTGTTAACAACTTCTGAGAAAGGTTAGCGTCGAGTCAGGGATGTGGCGAAGAGAAAAAAGTGGGGAGGTGCAAGAAAATTTTTTTCAAAAGTTAAGGGTGTATTTAGAAAATTTTTGAACGTGAGAGGATGCATTTACAAAATTTTAAAAAGTGGGGGAATGCAGAACCTTATTTTTCCATCTTATGATCTTTTTTTTTCAGTAAAAACACAGATTTTTGCTGGGGAAAAGCGATAATTTTCTAAAAGTGGGGGGGGGGGGGGGGGGGGGGGCCCCCCGTGGGCCCCCCATCCCCGGCGCGGGGCCTATGTTCTAAGAAGGAA